TTCTTAGGATCTCTATTTATAAAGCAAATTTAGCTATTTTGTAATGGAATTATATGGTAAGCCTCTTTTCTTCTTTCACTGAATTTACCTTCACTACTTTCTATAATTCTATTGAGCTGGATTATGAAATCTTTCGCATAAAGGCACCAGCATAAAATTTCTTCCTGATTAGCTTGATTTGCTTTATCTTTAGCATCAAAGGCTTTATTGCTAGACGTTGTGAGGCTTCATCAATGCTAGATTTATCAGAGGTAACTTTTCTGGGACATAATATCTCGAAAATTTTGGTCACATAATTTTGTTTATTGATAGCTCTTGTGAAGATAACTCTAAAGCAAATAATTCTTGCTTAAGCTTATTAACACTTTTTCCCTTCTTGTACTTTAAATTCTGTTCACTACCTATCTTCTCTTTTAGAGGTACTTCCCCACATCTGAATTAGCTGATGCTTTCAATGATACGCTATTGCATAGCTGTGTAATCAAGTTGAGAACTTGAGGCCTCTTCTCTTCAGAAGATATTGAAAGAGACTCTTAAGCTTGAAGTTTCTTCTCCTTATTGCATTATCTAATCTCATCATTAATCTTTTTCTTATGCACTTCATCTAAGAAAGCATCCATTTCCTTGTCTTCTAAGGATGTCTGATCATGTTGATCTATAATAGAGATATTAACAGCTGATACTGATTGCTTTGCAATTAACTTTAGAATCAGTTTTTCAGAAAATTAAGTATTCATTTCCTTATTCACTAATGGTTTTTTATAATGTGAGTTAGCTTTGCTAATCTAATCTGCAACCGAATTGAAGTTAAACAAACTGTTATTAGAAGAAGTATTATTTAGCATTTGCCTCTATTCCATTTTCGTGATTCTATTTCTAAACTCAGTATTCTCAGACTCAAGTTTAGTGGTAACTGTCTTATTTTTCTCTAGTTTCTCGATTCTGGCTCTGAGTTCAGCATTCTCAACATCGCATCTTTTACTCTTCCACAACCTGTCTTAGAAGTTTGACAATCCTGGACTTAAGCTCAACTTTCTCAGACTCAAACTCAGCTAACTTCCTTTTAAGATCAGGGATTTCAGTATTCTTATCCTTAAGCGAAACATTCTCAATCTTAATCTCAGCATTCTCATTTCTAAGCTAATAAATCTCAGTTAAGAGCTTGGCATTTAATTCTCTCAATGAATCAGTGGATTGCATGTTCAATGATAATTTTTTATATGAGATAGAATAATTCAAAAGCTTGTTAGCATAGATAAAAGATGAGGCAATATCCTCATCAAAATTATAAGATTCAGTAATACATAAACTTGTTTACAAAGTGAAGTAAAATTCTATACTAATACTCGCCGGTGTTTCATTTGTCTAAGGCTCTAAGCTGTCTACAATATCTCACATTAATTCTAATTCAATTTTATTTGTCCTAATATTGGTATTCTAGGTAAAATAAAATGGTAATCAGTTATGCATAGAACATACAGAGTCAGAAATAAATTAACAATATTGATCTTAGTAAAACTCACTAAAAGTTTAAACAATCAATGAAAGAAGAAGTACAAATTATCAGAGTTATTTACTGAAGCAGCAAAGCAAAAGAAGTAATTTAATGATTTAAGCGTCGTAATAAGGTCTTCACTATTTAATAACAAGCTAGCATTTCAAAGATTTTTATAACAAAAAAATAGTTTTATAAGGCCTGAGTCACTTCCTTGCAAATGCACAGCCACAAACAAAAAATAAACTTTATTCATACCTTAATTTCGAAAGGTCTCATCTGAAATTCAATAATTTTTTGTCAACATTTCTTAAACTGCGATAGATCGTTTCTTTTTAATGAGTTTATGCTCAGAGAAAATAGCATGACGGCTTGGGATCAGAATAAGAAAAAAAGTTGTATACATGAAATGAGAAAAATGGCTTAACTATAGTAGCTATCATCTATAATTGATATAGTCCAAAATTTCAAAAAAGTAAAAATCACGTGATTTTATATTACTTCACATGACTTTCGTATATAACATCACGTATACAACACGTTTTATTGATTTATTTTATTTAACTCTGCTAATACATAATCGGGAATATAATGATGAGATTTATATTTTTTACAGTATACTCTGTCAGCTTACCAGTGATCTTTTTATACAAATCCATATACCACCATATTTTTCTTGCAAACTTTCTTATTGTAATTATACTAACAAATTCTAAAGCTATAGAAACAATACGTTGCAAACCTGACTATAAATAATCACAGTTTTCTCGCATATATTATTTTGCCACCTTCCAATACCATTCAATATAATTCAACTCACAGTGAAACTTTGGATAGAAAATATATTTATGCTTAGCATTTAATATTACTTCTTCTAATGCACTTTTTTGTGTTAAAAAATCAGGTTGTAAAAAAATAATCCGCTGTGCACAACAATCTATTCGAGTTATATTATCTATTTTATCTTTACATAACTGACAACTGCTTTTAATCCATCTTTTCACAATCCACGCTTATTTAGAACCTACTTCATTCCTTTTGGTTCACCATTTTCATTTACCATTAATTGATGTTGATTATTTAATCCAAAGACTGTATCTTTCATCTTTGGTTGTTTGCCTTCAGATTTTAGGTTCATTCTATTGGCAACAAGAGCATCAGATTTAAATGCTGCATGATTTGAGCTATTGTCAAATGCAAATAATGCAATGCAATTAGGAAAGAGTATTTTAAAAATGGAAATAGCTTTTGTTTTTACTTATTTTATTAAATGTTCACTTGTTCAGAAACCTTCTCGATCTTTATCCAGCTGAAGATAAACACATGCATCTTCAGGTATGAAAGGATTTTCTTGATATTGTTGTGCATTTAATTTAAGCCGATCACATTCTTCTGATAAAAACTCACTAATCATTATTAACCGTCCATTCCTTTTTTATGCAATAGCAATTCTCCGGATTTTGCTTATACTCCTCGTTTTCCATCATTAGAGTGAAAGATACACTTATCATATGTTATAAGAATTACTTCCTTATCGTTGGGTTCTAATATTGGAGGCTTTCGTTCCATATTTTCATTTTCATACTTTATCATATACTTTTCATAATTATAGATTTCCTTCAAAAACATTTGATGATATTCTATAACATCAAGACGCTTATGACCATCATAATATATGTCTATTAAGATAAGTAATATTAAAATCGATATAATTAATTTATTATAATTTAATAAATATCTTACCTTGTTTTTGAGATTGAAAAAAGTAACCAAGTATATTTAATCAATGTGTTGCGGTCATTATACTAATTGTTTTTTTCCTTGTTATTCCAGAATTAATAAGTAATTTATTTTCAATAAACTCTTTAAATTTTAATGGTGTGGTTATTCCACCTTGAGCATGAATCCAGGTATGACATTTTTCTGCTAAATCTTCATCATCAATTAATCATATTGTTTTTTTATGTTTGTTTTGACGACTTATTGGAAGATGATTATTTTGTAGCCAATAATTTGTCCAATATCTAATAGATCTTGTTTTATATGATTCACTTTCAATAAAAACTAATTGTGCAGCTTCCATACTGGCTTTCATTTTTCCTTTTCCATCATCTAATCTTATCAAATATTCTAATGTTGCTCATTTTTTATTATATTCGGCTACAGTTAATAATTTTTGTTGTTCTTTAAGCTCAATTTTCAAAATATTGATTTTTTTATTTAAATTAAGCAGATTTTGTTCTTCATCTTCCATGTCATCCAAAATTTCTTCAAAATCAATTGGAGTTGATTGATTTTTATTTATAAATGTTAAAATATTTGCAGTTCCTTTTGCATCTTTTGTAAAAGAACCACTTGGTCCATACTTATAAAAATATGTTGATTTTTTAATTTTTCCAACAAGGTAAGGTCTGTATTTCTTTTTTTCCAAATATGCATTATCTGACCAATCTAACTCATTTTTAAAATTTTTTTTTCGTTTAGTAAACTAACTTCTTCATTCCACCCACTATCATCTTCATCTTCCCATTCATCAAATTCATCAGTTAGCTTTAATTTTTTTAAAAATTTTCCTTTATTATCTTGTTCTTGTTTTTTAATCTTAGATTTTCACTTCAATAAACGAGTTATTAATATTAATTGATCAAAATGCGAAACATAATAGACGTATCATTTATTAGTTAATTTAAATATGGGAAAATATGGAAAAATAGGTAAAATCCGAACATTTTTTCAAGTCTTTAATGTTTGTCTCATTTGTTTTAACTTTTTTAATTTATTATTAATAAGTTTCTCATTAAAACATAAGCAAAAATTATAATTTTATTAAAGAATTGAAATTTGGCATTCTTTTCTCTCATTTTATGAAATTACTCATATATAAATAAAAAATTTTTAGCAATTTCTTTGATTTCACATGAAATTTGTAAAAATGATGTGCCCGAAATTTATCTTTTTTCATATAAATATTCTTAAACTTTTAAATTAAATAAAATTAAATTTTTCTTAATAAATCGTAAAAATAAATGATATTTTATTAATTTATCAGCTTAAATTTATATTTTATTATTTATTTCTAACATAAAATTTTAAAATCACCTGATATTTATGTCATTTATAGATGGTAGCCAGATTTAATTTAGTTATCGTTATGACATAATTTAAAATTAATTTTATTAGGCTACTAATTATTGTTATGCAACTGAAGAATTAATAAATACCTTGTGAATGCAATCTGAGTAATGATAAAATCGTATGAATCACTCTTTTTTGCTTGTGACAAGTTAATTTTATAAACTTTTTTTTATTATGCTTATATCATTTATATCATTATATCATATTTTGTGCCACCAATTAAGAGTTTATAAGGATCATTTTATAATTAATCACAATGTATTCAGAAAAGTATATATATATCTATATTTATAAATACTTTCCTTTCTAGCTTTCTTTTTCTAAAATATATTTTATCACTTACATCACTTACAGCACTTACAGAAACACAATGATAGCTTCAGTAAATTGTTTAATTCTAGGAGAAGCTTCTAAAAATAATTTCAATGTTGTCATTGGCGAAGTATATACCAATGATGATAAAATTGATGTCACCTTTGATCAATTCACTATTTCAAACTTCAAAGAGCTTCTCTTTCGTAGGGAAAAAGTAAAAAAGGCAGTTCAAGATTCTGATAGTATGGATCTTTATAAAGTTAAACTCAGTCTTTTGAGCCTTAAAGATAAAATTTATACAATGGATGAAATTGAAGATCTTAGCACGATGATGGAATCTATGCTTGAATTTAAAGAATATTTCAATAATGGTGACAAAAAACCAAAGCCAAGATGCCTTCATATCTTCATAGTCCCTACTATTGTAGCCCCGCTACTGGTAAGTGTCTCCAAATGGTTTACCTCTCGAACAAGAAATTCACGTTATCTCACATCTTTTTTATTTATTGATTGATTCTCTTTCCTTTTCTTATGTATTGGCATGACTGATTCACGCTTTCTGCTTTGGGTTGTCTCTCCACTTGCTCTATTCATCGCCATCATCAGAGCCTCAAAGTATGTTAATCACTTATTCTTTTTGCGACTGTCTCCTTCCTCTATCATTTTATTCCAAACGTATATTAATTCTCTTAAATTTCTCTTCTGACATGGTAGGAAAAAGCATTACATTTGACAATATTGAAGAGGAACTGGAACGAATTAAGCCAAAATCACCATATGACTGAAGTGAATATAAGGGATGTTGAAAAATACCAAAAGCAGACATTAGGCCAATTCTACCGCAAAGCCCTACCCTATGATACAAAGGTAGATAAGATGAATCTAGCGATGTTTGGACAAATGTTGGAAAAGGCACCAATGATAAACAATAACAAAACATTGCTTGATCTTATTGAGAATGACATTGGTGAAACAAATTATTACAACGTAGTGGCAATGGTTGGTCGATCAGGTGCAGGAAAGACTGCAATAATAGTCGATCTAGCAAAACAGCACTTTATTGTCTACTGTGTGTGTTCCGACTCAGGTAGTATAATTACAATAGACTTTGCAGACCCGAACTTTGTTCGCCTTGCAAAAGATGTTGAACAGATGGCCACCGACCTTTAGCAACGAGATTCAGTTCAGGCATTGAAGGACAATGACATACGTCTGAAACAACGTGCAGGAGAACGTGTTGAGCTTGAATTTCTGACACGATTGCTATTCCTACAACTACTTTTCAAGATAAAACCTAACCTTACACCAGAGCAATTTTTCTGTGAACAGATGAATGGAGGGGCTAAAACAATTGAAAATCTAGTGGGAACACTACGTAAATATCATGTAACAACAATCAGAGACATGCTGTCATATGTGCAGAGATATCTAACAAAACATATCTATGACCAAAGGCAAGGACTGGTGATTGCTTTGGATAAGGCCCATATTGCAGCAAAGTATATCCTGGCTGAAAAGCTAATTTCACCCTCTATACTATCTGAAAACCTGAAAAACCAAATAGAAGTGCTGTCAAGTACCCTCAATCACATGAATAATCTGCAAGAGAAATATCAACGTAGTTTTTTCACACCTCTATGCGCAACACTGAGTGATATGCACGCAACACTGGTGGTGCTTGGAACATCATTGTCACTGTCAGATGCAGACCAAGTAAGCTCAGCAGTTGACAAGAAGACAAACTTTCAAAAAATTATAAATTTTCCTAAACTTAATGAGCAAGATGTGGATAATCTGTTAAAATATGCTATTGACTTATCTGAGTGTGTAATCCCACCTAACAAGCGACGAAAACTTACAGGATGGCCTCATTTTTCATCTAGTGTTATTGGTAAGCTGAATGACTCTGACATGCACACCAAACAGGATTTGTTCATTAGTGCAGTTGATTTAGCAATTGATCAAGTTAAGAATGATCTGAAGAAAATAGTGCAAAATCTTCTCGCTGATAAGGCATTAAACACAGCACGTTTACTTGGTCACATGGTCTTAGCATACAAGCTTTACAATGGTAAGATATCATTTGCACACATTTCAGAAGCTGACTTTGTGAATAATGCCTTGTGCAATCTAAGCAAAGACTCTGATGACGTGCACTTGATCATGGATGAACCACTGGTGATTGAAGTTGTGGAAGAGGAACTGAAAAGCATAAATGTTGATCCTGAATTTTTAGTGTATCTTGATCAATTCAACTAGGTTATTGAGAATCTAGGAACAGACACTACAGCCAGTGATGTATATTTTTGATGTCCTAAACATTTTAAGACTGTCCCATATTATGTCCCAAAATTCCCACATTAAGTCCCAATGTTCCAGGTCATGTCCCAAAAATATCCCATGACAACACTGACTACAGCAAAAGGAAATATGCTGGAACCACTCATCTGACGCTATTTGTAACATTTCAATGGTTATGACCTTACAGATCTTCCTTTTCTTAAAGGTCTTAAAGTATTGCCTACATAGTGCAAAGGCCTTAAGCTTCAAATTGATGAAGTTAACACGACAAATAGTTTTGGATATGAAGGCAATGGTCATAAAGCTGACCTTGAGTTTTTCAAAGATCGCAAATAAAATGTTGATTGAGCATTCTAGTACACGCCAAGATGGGACATGGTTCTTTTCCAATAATCAATATGCTGGCTCTATTGGAATTAAACTATATTCAGATTTTTTGAAAGAAAGCACACACATAGAAAATGAGACATTTACCAACTTTCAGTCAAGTTTTCTAAAAAAGGATGGCACATTAAATCCATCACTGCAAAAGATTCGAAAAAATTTTGAACCCAGCTGTATTCCCAGTGATCTTAAGAACATACTTCGCATTCATCTTGAGTTTCCTGGAGTTAAGGGTTTTAAACCAGAAACTAGTGTAAAAAGAGATTTAAAGTATCCTGGTGTTGAAGACGTGATAGTTTACATTGACTGCTCAAATATGGATGAATTTTTTTATGAAAACATTCATGAAAACCAGAAAGTTGTTCATATTTTAAAAAATATTATCAGATATATGACAGCTAAATCAGGAGAAGTGACTTGCAACTGCCAGATTCTGAAGTGTGAAGATACACATTGCTCATGTTTCAAAAAAAACAAGAAATGTGATTCATTATGTGAATACTGCAAACAAGAGAGTTGCAATAATTTAATTTAGCTTTACTATAATAGTAGGAATTCAGTCATTGTATCAGATAAAATATTTCATACTTTGAAGTTGATTTTCATAAAATTTAAAAATAATAACGCATACATTAATTTTTTTAGCAAGCAAGATATATGACATGGAGGATGCTAGATCATTTAATACGAGTCCCTGCTTCATGTTAATTCACATTACTATTTCCACTAACTACTATTACTACTATTATTATCCGTAAAATTAATCATCCTTTTCCCTTCCCCTTCAAACCATGTATCTATCGATGTCTTCCTTGGTGCTGATAGAAACTTATTATTGTGACCAATCTTATATTATCATTTGTGTAGGAGATTTAAAATATATTCTTAGCATAGCACGTGACATTCTATGCATACACGTAAAACAAATTAAATGATCGGCTCAACATAATTCTGATCATTCCCTGAGGAAATGAACTCACCCAAATTTTCTGAAATCATCTGATCACTTTTGCAGTCTCGGAAAAATGCCAAGAAAAATAATAAATACAAAGTTCAGGACGTAGCCCACGATACATATTATTTTTGATAAATTTTTTGATCCTAGCCCTCTTACTAGATAGGGAACTATCTATACTAATACGATCCTTTAACAGCCTAACAATTATACTTATTACCTTCTTCACGTTGCTTCTAAGTAATTCAGGATTTTTTTTGATAGCGGACTTTGTAAGGTTAATCTAATATTCACTACTACTACTTGTACAGTAAATTCTGTCTAGAGTATATATTATAAAATGCCACTCCGTTTCTGTGGTCATAATATTATAAAGATAGTCAAAGTAATCTTCATTAAATGCTTGATCTGCAGTTCGTTTTTTCTTATTTATTTGGAATGTACTTTCAAGTTGTGCTAAATTCTAAGAGATAGAATACATTATCCTTTAGTTTTCTCATTTCAAAGCCAATAGACTGATAAGATGAACAGACTTACTTGGACATATCCAATCTTAATATTGTGCGGTTTCCCCTTAGCAACAAATAGGAGGTCTTCTAAACTTTGATTGTGTAGTCTACTCGACCTGTTACATCTTCACCAGAAACATCTTTTTGTAAAACTATGAATATATCTTGAGAGGTGATATTTTTAGCTATAGCGATAAAAGCATGAAGAATAGATAAAATAAATTCACAATAAGTCGTCTCATTAGCATCAGTTATGGTCTACATGTTCGAAAGTTTTAAAATAATATCATCCATATAATGATTAAGCACCTATCATCATCATTGATATTTTTAAAGACTGTGGGTAAAAATAAGGTTAGTATAGCCAACTAGTCAGTTCTGAAAAATTAATTAATTATCTACCAGGAGTAAATTGTTTAATACTCGTTATATCTTTTACATTGTTCTTATTTCTATGCAACATTTTTTTCAATTCATCAAGAGTTTTTCAGCGAGGGATAGTTTCTTAATTTTTGGCTGAGACTTTTGATAAATTTTGCAAGTGTTGTTGCAGAATTAGCTTTCAAGCCTAATTTTGAAACTTTTCTTTAATTGTATTAAGAAAGATAAGGCCAGAAATTTCTTCTTTATATAAAATTTTGAAGTGGGTCTTCAAGTTTTTTTTTTTCAAATATTCGATAAGCTCCTCTGTATTAAAATCCTTAACCACATCTGACATTATTCTAGTGAAAATTTCTTCCATTATTGAACTTGAAGAAGAAGGTATAGAGACTTGTGAAGATATGATTTTTATATATATATGTTTGTACTTACGAAAAATATACACTTGACTGCAAACAAGTAAAGCTGGTTTATAGATATAAAAGTATTTTTGGTTTCTGGCGTTTAAATAGAAATGATAGATTTTTTTGTATCAATTCATAATGCATTTACTTAATATATTTGCAATTAAATTGTAATACAGAACTGTCATGCGATTATATTATATTATTTCACATGACATTCTTCAAGATTTACAATAAAAATATAATATATACTTTATTTAAGAAATAAAAAATGTTGCCGAAGCAACAACTAATACAAAAATAAATTTGTGAATAGATCGTTTTTATGATACAAATGAGAAGAATGCATTATGTTTCAATGACTGTTAATGCTTGCTGTTTTTGATTTTCAATACGGAAAATTTTGATATCATCTAGCGTAATTTCATAACTATACATCTAAAGTATAATATAACTAATTGCACCATTAATAACTGCTGATTGTATAATCTCACCAGTTGATGAACATGTACAAACAGTATCCGGTGGAGGTGGAGTTGGATTTCCTTGGTTGTTCACAAAATAAACCCTTGTTATATCATTCGTCATTTTTTTGATTTTTACATGATGGTTATTACCGAGATCCTTCGTCTGTGAATTATTCTTTCTATACGAAAAGGTACCTTATTTTCTATGCATCTTGTTGACAAGTCTACAGGGTATAAACATTGTATTATTAATCTATTTGAAAATATGATTTTATTTTAACTGGTAATATGCACCTTAATATTTTTATGGAAATTTGGCTGAACTTCCACATATCACTACATGCTTTATATCTTACTGGAAAAAAATTAAGAAGATATGAGTCATGTTTAGTATTGTTGTCTGATGCTAAGAGTTTTATGAAAGCACATGCAAATGGAATCCTCATACCTTTTCACATGTAAATCTACCGGAAAGACATATAGTTGGCTTTACACCCAGCGATCTCAAAATTGCGAGTCCCTCAACCTTTTATAACATATGCTTTTGATATAAATATTAACTTATATAGTAGGTTCTGTGTTGCAACTAGACACCCTTTCACATTTTTCTCATGTTTGTTCAGAAAAAAATAAAGAACAAAGGTTAATATGTTTCTTTTTTGAATATGCGAAAGTTAATATGTTATACAAACCTATCTGGTGATCTGCATATTCTTGTCGCACATGCATATGGTGATCAGGTCTAATTTAATTGAATCTGTTAATCTACAAAGATCCTTTACATGCATATGTAAATATATATAATATATGCACAGCGCCTTCATCGGTTTCGAATAAAAAATGAATCTGATATTTATTAGAGTATACTATTGCTAAATCAGCTATAAATCAATAAATAGCTATAATCAAGTATAATTATTATGTCATTCAGTCATCAAACAGGTTTTGAGGGTACTTATGAAGAGCATGTTGAATATATTGGTATGCGTCATATTGAGAATGGTGAAACTCCAACTGAGTGGAAAAACGATCTGGAATCGCCTAATGTATTTTCAAAATAAAAAATCTTATACATATGGTGAGGAAGATGTTGATGGACAAACATTTTCACTGACATGTGGAATGGCAATCTGCTATTCTTGCAATCAACTGGTATATCTCGGAATAGAAAGCTTGTTGATAGGTGAAAGATATGTTTATAATTGTATAGAAGGTAAGTTTAAAACTGAGAAATTCTGATATATTTCTTTTAATGGAGAATATTGGGGTATGTATCAACGTTGGACCACAGCTTGTACCGGAAATAAGTTTCGCAAACTAAATTTCAAAGAATATATGGAAATAAAACAGCTGATCCCATTGGATCAGTGGATGAGTTTTTATCAAAAAATTCAATTTGGTAAATTCAAACGCAAAAACCCATATACCGTTATAACTGATAATAATTACATCCTAAATAAATTTGGCATTTATGCTGATAATAAACTATATAGTTATGTTTTATGGTTAGAAAATGTTACCAAAAGGATTAGGCGCATCAGACAGAAATGTATCTTTTTGAATATTTGAAAACAGAAAGAATTTCATCAGATCATAAGCAATAACCAAAAGATGCAATCACTCTATCTTTCGCAGATTGATAAATTAAAAGAGAGTAATACAAACGAAATATTTATCTCGTCTCAATATGCAAAACAAAATAACTTACTATCATCTATAAACCATTTTAATCGGCAGGCATTAAGATTGAGAGATGGGACAAAAATCACGATTATTTAACTAGTTTAATATCATTTAGCCAAAGGTGTAATGTATAACTTATTCTTTATTTTTTTTGCATTATATAATTTGTATACATGATCACCTAGTATAATTGTGAAATGCTCCATATACATAAAGAAAATCGCTAAGCATTATCTACCTATTTTGGGTTAGATCCTCTAATATATAACTATTTTAATAAAGTATTTTTCAGAAAGATCAATAAAGCGCTCTTGAGGATTCTTGATTCCTAAATACTACTATTATTATGGCTTTGAAAATTTCTATGCAACATTAATTCAGTGAACTTATAGGAATTATAAGAAGAGGCCTAAATCTTTGGCAAAACAGGTTTGGAAAATGGTAAGGTATGATGGTATACCCGACGATATGAAATTTTTAAGAAGAATTTCTACTTGTGAATATTGGGATTTTAGATTAAATAATTTGGAATTGATATCAGAAAAAGGAGTCCAGTTACGTTTAAAATTAACAAATATAACATTCATACTTTCTTTGGAATTATTATATCAACAAGGCTATATAATCATTAGAGGTTCGATATGGAAGGTTAAATGGACTGACATGTTAAAATGGTCACAGAATCCTGAATATTATCATATTGATAAGAAATCTAACTCTAAAAATTTCATTAGAATTTCAAAGTATAAGAAATGTATGAGTAAAGGGTTAGTCACATATGACTCACTGATAAAAATCACAGCTTTTATCCAGTTGTATAATCCGATTACTGTAAATTTGTTAGATATGGATAATAATTGTGAATTTGTACGTTGGATTTTCCAGATTAGTCCTTGACCCAGATTCCAAATATTATCTTAATAAAATAATAATGCATATTAGCCTGTATGACATGTGATACTCTGCAAATCATCTGTAACTCTGTATGACTGTTTGTATGACAAATTAATTTTCACACATAAGAAATCGATTTTCAAAATATTTCAAATTTTTTCCCTATCTATCTGAATAGCATTTATTAATGAGTTTATTAATATGTATATTTGCTTCAGAGAAACGGGCTATTTTTATTATATTCAGAGCTGAACATATGTTATCAGGACTTAGTATTAAGCGGTCGGGCGAGAAAAAAAGTTCGTATATGCATTGTTCTCAACGCCTTTGTAAATGTCAAGATCTTTAATGCACATTTTACATACCCTTATTCTCGAACACAAATTTTGGTATAAAGTATCTTACACATTCTTCTACCTCAACCCCAACATGAACTTGGCTTCAGAGAAGACATGAATGAAGTCATTTAAAAGAGCAGTATATAAAATTTTTAGCTAATCATCGTTTATTTAGTGATTTTGCTTTTTGCGTTATCTCAGTATATTAGCATTATTTTATACCTTCAAACTAACCACACAAATATGTTTACTATAATGTATAATTAAGATTTATAAGTTCTTTTCAACTGCTGAGAAACGTCAAATAAATGCTACTTCTATTATTTATCTTGAAATGAAAGAAAATTGCTGGGTTTCCCAAACAGAGTTAAAATCAATTGTAGAACAAGCTGTGAGATTGTTAGCAATGTATTTATGGAAGGTTCTTTACGTCAAATAAAAATTTTCTGAATTCTATAACAGGTTAGTTAGGATTTTTACAAACACTTTCAGCTTTATTATTATATGATAATACTGTGTGATCATTTACTAAAGTAAACCTGAATAAACAAGTTATTTTTTGGTTTGTTGCTTATGTTCAGCCTACCCATTCAGTTCGCTTGCCAGTAAATACTTACACGTAGTAAAGAGTGTATATGCTATAATCTGTTATGCAGTTGTGTAGTTTATCCTACTAACCTATTATGTGAAAAGGTTATTACCATGTTGAGGGATGTGTTAAAATATGAGTTATTATGTTGCTTTGTTAGTATCACATGAAGTTTCGTCTGCGTGATAGACATACAAAGATAATAACTTCGCATATGCACTGATAATTATGTTATTTTTATAATGAGAACTTCTTTTTTATTTCTAAAATCTAACACATTACATTTTTATTTTTGACATTGCCTTTGAAGGTATTTGCATTTTATACAACATGAAAGCAATTAAAACAGATAAGGAAATTCCTTTTAGCTTGAATCAGATTGAAGATATTATAAATGATCTGAAGGAAAAGCTTAGAAAAGATACTTTGCTATTCTATCAATAATTATATTCCAAAATAAATGCTATATCTATTCTAAAGTTAACCTGAAAGGATTCTTTGGCCAGCTGAGTTATTAGCGATCAATCAGAAGTTGTCAAGCAGTTGTCATCAAATCTAAAAAAGCATTTAAGGTAGGTAATCATAAATTTGTTGAAGGTTCTTTGAGAATAAATATAATATATATTTTATATTAAAAACCTGCTCGGCAAATGACGCCTGCTCCTATAGCGATAGTTAGAGAGATGTGTGAAAATTTCATAACAAGTTTATCAATCGTAATATTTAGAATATGATATCAGATAAATTAATTCATGATGGATCCTAGAAAGAATCAGAAGAAAAAATTGCAAATGTTATAAAAGAAGTTTTAATTCTTCTGGAAGATATTTGGATTAACCCAGCTTTTAATTCTGAACTTGCAAAATTACTAAATGAAAGAACCTATCAATCAACAGTTATTCTATTGTCTATTCAAGCAATATTAAAAAACCTACCTTTTAGCTTATCCTTATTTATCAGTACTTTAGAACGACAAAGTATTGCTAGTGCAGATAGGAAAGGTGAAAGGCAAATGGAAAGATGACCAGATATTATGTATGTAGTAAAATATTTAGATGTTTTCTTTTATGTATGTTGAATGTTCATGATTATACTATAATCAACAGAAAAAGATAGATGATAAGATAAAGCTATGGAGAGAAAGTAATGATGGCATGTTCTGGATTCACAAAATCCTTAAACCGGAAAAAGATCAATTTGGAATAGTTGGAATGCAAGTAACTGGGAATATGTTGCATCTAAATGTTCTTATTAGAGATAAAGTAAATCTTCATAGATATTTTCATTTACAATCAGCTGAAATTCCTGTGCAATTGTCAGATATGGATGTTGTAACTAAATTTGTAGAAATCCTTCTACTTTTATGAAATATATTAATTACAAATTTGTCCCTACTATATTATGCCTCCATTTTAATATTAGAAAGACAAAAAGAAGATAGTATTACAGTTTCTACTCCAATGCGAGATAATTAATTTCTTTTTTATAATTTATATTATATACATTTATTTTCTGTATCAATAAAGTAACCCTAGTGATTTATTATTATTTTACATATTCATCCATATTTTTTCGTGTAGGAATAGTATTAAAAGGTAACATATATTTTGGAAAAATTCCTTCCTTTTTATCAAAGCAAAAAAATTGTCTATATACTGTATATGCCATATAATTAGTATAATCACTAAGAAACAGTCGTATTGATTTCGACAAAATAAAAGAACTTCATGAATTTTATGTAAACTGGTATCAAGGTAATTTTTTTGTTTATGTTCTTGATCAGTCATATTTTGAGTATTAAATGGCCTATTATATGTAATTAATATTAAAATATTATTCATTTTTAATTAAAATATTGAATTAATATGTAACTAGATAAAACTAAAATACTTACATTTTATGATTCTCAGCCAAAATTCCAAAATTAATTCTTAAATCTTTTTTTATTGAATAAAATATTACACTTTTAGCTTCATTACTATCATGACCCGCTCGTCTAATTTGTTGTACCAAATTTGCTATATGTAAAAAATTAAAAATTAAAAAATAAACATATATGTAAGAATAATTAATTGTAAGATTACTTACTCATATTTAGAAGTGCTACACAATGTATTATTAAAGAAATGTTAGAAGAATTAATACCCATTCCAAATGCATTTGTTCTGATCATTATTTGAATTTTTCCATTTTTCCAATGTGATATTATACTTTCACGTTGTTCATCATCTAACCCTCCATGATATACGCCTAAATTATTATCTGTAAAAAGAGGTTGTAACATCGCAAAAAGATCATTATATTCTGATTGTGTTGCACAATAAATAATACCCTTTTCTTTTTCGTATTTTTTAATTAGATTCTTAATATCATTTAAAAAGTGTTGACGATTATTTTTTCTTTTGTACACCTCTATAACGATTTCTTTACATTCAAAAGATGAGCTCCGAATTATAGAAAAATTTTCTAATGGAATTTTAAGAGATATGCGAATATCTTGAGTATCTGCATAAGTGCATGTAGCAGTTAAAAGCATAATGGATGCTATAGGTATAATTCCTCAAAATCGAATCGAATCAAATATTTAAGCAATTTGAATTTGATTTGATTTTT